ATTTCCTATCACAGACTGAAGTTCCCATAACGAACTCTAAATACGTAATTTGAAACAATTCTGGTGAATAATGTCGCTAAAATCATCAAAATACCGAATATAGGGAGGTACTGTTATATGGGGGCTATACGAAGACGTGGACTTGCACAAACAATTTTCTGTCTTAGGATGTAGTATCCATTTCGAACTTCAAATACCACATTTGAAACATGAAAAGTTAATGTATCCTCCATAGTATGGTGGAGGGTATAACAAGTAAGCACATGCTATAGTCCTGCGGGGCCTACCATGTGATACCCTACCGCACTAAAATATGTTAGAGGCCCCCTTATGTCTAAATCCATTTTGGAAGATTTCGCTTTTGAAATTATGCCACGGAGCACTACCTAGATATTATACTTATCATTTTGACCAGGGAAATTTGCCCAATGAATACGCTGTTAGTTACAGCTAAATATAATCAACCGATCAATCAAAATCCTAGACTTTTTACCTGTCCTTAACTTTCTTCTCATCGTAAGTTCCGTGTCGATTGGTTTCAATTGTGTGTTCAGGAAAATTTTTCTGTTTTTGGTTCATTTGAATCCCTCAATATTTTGCGATCATCTCCAAATGCAAGAGTCCCTATATATATATTTCGCCTGGAGTTAATTTCAGCGTTTTTGTAGAATGGAAATGTTGGTATTTTTTCACACAAAAGTAATCGCCTATTCTACTTACACTCCTAAACTCTAATCCAAACCTATTTGTAAGGTGAAATCAGTAAAGAAAGTCTTAAAGTCGGGCGGGGCCGACTTTATGATACCCTACACCACTTTACTAATTTAGTAGAGCTCCGCATAACAATTAAATTTTTTTATGGGAGAATTCAATCATACACGCTATGATTATAAGTATAATTTAAAGTTCAAAGGACTTAATATGCCGAAGCATTTGTATCTTTTAAATTCGGACTTGTATTGCCCATTTGGTGCACAATTAATTTGAAATCGGATAAAAATATATATGGGAGCTATATCCAAATCGGAACCGATCTCGATAAAATTTGGCAAAGATATTTCTGAGCTGCATTTGATATATTTCCCTGAATATCGTTGTTACGGAGTGCATATTACGGCTGTGGGTAACAAATATGACAAATCGGATAAACAGTATACATGGGAGCTATAGCTATATCTGAACCGATCTTCACCAAATTTGACATACTAACTTCTAGACTCAATTCGGTCGTAAGTGCCAAATTTCATCCCATTAGGGCAAATATTAGACGTTTGGTGCACATTAAAGGTAATTCGGACGAAGTTATGTATGGGAGATATATCCAACTCTGAACCGATCTCGATACAATTTAGCAAGTGTATTTCTGAGCTGTATTTGATAAATTTCCCCAAATATTGTTGTTACAGAATGCATATTACGGCTGCGGAGGACAAAAATAACAAATCGGATGAACAATATATATGGGAGCTATAGCTATATCTGAACCGATTTCGATCAAATTTGGCATACTTATTTTCAGGCCTTATTTGGTTGTATGTATTTTCAGGTCCAAGCGTGCAAAATTCCATACTATTCGGACTGACATTACACGTTTGGTGCACAATAAAAGGCAAATCGGACGAAGATATATATGGGAGCTATGTCTAAATTTTGACCAATTATCTCCAATTTCAATAGGGTTCGTCCTTGGGCCAAACAAATGATCTGTGCAAAATTTCATCTGGATCGGATCAGAATGCATATTACGGCTGCGGAGGACAAAAATAACAAATCGGATGAACAATATATATGGGAGCTATAGCTATATCTGAACCGATTTCGATCAAATTTGGCATACTTATTTTCAGGCCTTATTTGGTTGTATGTACAAAATTTCATACTAATCGGGCTTATATTACACGTTTGGTGCACAATAAGAGGCAAATCAGACGAAGATATATATGGAACCTATATCTAAATTTTTACCGATTATCTCTAATTTCAATAGGGTTCGTCCTTGGTCCAAACAAATGATTTGTGCAAAATTTCTTCTGGATAGGGGAATAAATCCGAACTGTACTTTGTTTACAAAAATACATGGACAGACGCACAGACGGACGGACGGTCATGCATAAATCGACTCAGAATGTGATTCTATGCAGATCATCAAAAGGAACTATTGATCTATCTCGTTTCCTTTTGCCTGTTACAAACAAATGCACAAAGACATATTACCCTGACCACCTTGTGGTGTAGGGTATAAAGATAGTACAAAATATACACTTCAATATTATATGTGAAATTGAAAAACGATCATTCAATAAAATTTAAAGGAAACAAATGTAAAAATTATGGCGTTTGAGTTTGTTGCAGTTTTTTATCTCACCCTGTATATACAATCTATATGTAAAAGAAATTGATGTTAGTTTCTAAACATGTAACTCAGAAACGACTGGACTGATTTTGACAATTGTCACCAATGGCCTTTTGGCAGAAAAGGATTCAATCAACGAAAATCGCGAAAAAATGTCAAAAGTGTTTTTTTTATATTTTGTTATATTTTTTATGGCATGAGATTTTTATACCCTGTGTTGAGTTTGATTGCGCCAAAATTATTTAACACTTCGAAATATTGGTTTCCCATATAGAAAAGTATACCTGGATCTCCCTATCTCGCCGAACTGAGTCTATCTAGCTATGTATTTCCGTCCGTCCGTCTGTCCATGTTAATTTATAATCAAGCTAAAGGTCGCAATTATGGCCCGATCCTCACGAAATTGAAAATGGATATGGGGTTATGGTCAGAATAGAACCCTATTGTTTTTGGAGATGATTGCACACTATTATGGGGTTGAAATGGACCAAGAACTGAAAATTTTCATGATTTTGCAGTTGCTCTATAAGCCACAATTATAAACCAATCGACGCGGAAATTTACATGGAGTTAGAGTTTAGGACTGGGCAGAAGCCTACCAATTTGGGCAGCCACTTTAACTTTTATGTAAGGAAATAAGAAAATGTCCACTAAACCGCGAATATTTTCAGTCCAAGCCAAATCACAAATACATTAAAATATCACTTCTGACCATTACAGTGATGCTAATAACCAATAAATCGGATATATAGTCAAATAGGTACAATATATATGTAAAATAACATATCTTATTTATTCTACTTATAAGTCAACAACCGCTGGGTCGATGTTCACAATTCCCATCATTTCGGAATCTTATCTTGCCAAAAAAGGACAATATCTAAGAAAATCGCGGAAAATATAGCAATAAAAAAGTTAATATCTTTCGCTCCATTTTTTTTTCAATGTTTGTCAATTTTTTTTTACACTTTGTCCGATCCTCACGAAATTTGGTATGGCGTAGGGTAAGGGTCAGAATTAAAGCCTATTGTTCTTAAGATTTGCATTTAGCGGTTCAAACAAAAATTTTCTAATTTTGTAGTCGCTCTATAGACCACAATTAAAAAGTAATCGACACGGAATTTCGCATCAGAAGAGACCTAAGGACAGGGGCATTATTTTTGACATTATTTCAAAAATGAAATCTTCCGAAATGGATTTGCACATAAGGGGACTTCGATCCAATTGTAGTGTTGTAGGGTATCACATGGTCGACCCCGCACGACTTTGCTTACTTGTTTAATATTTTAGCTTACTTAATGTAAAAACAAGTAAAAAACATTAAGTTCGGCCGGGCCAAACTTTTAATACCCTCCACCTTAGGGTAAAGGAAACATTAGAAAAAATGTGGCAAAAACTATTAAAATGCCGAATATCGGGAGGTATCGTTATATTGGGGCTATACCAAATCGTGGGCCTACACATGCAATGTTTCGCCAACGGAGCTAGAACCCATTATGACCTACAAATATCATTTTTCAGACAAGTACGTGAAAAAATGTGGCAAAATCATTAATTACCGAATATTGGGAGGTACCGTTATATGGGGGCACCTGCAATGTTTCGCCAACGGAGCTAGAACCCATTATGACCTACAAATACCAATTTTCAGAGAAGTTCTTGAAAAAATTTGTCAAAAATCATCAAAATACCGAATATTGGGAGGTACCGTTATATGGGGACTATACCAAATCATGGACCTACACATGCAATGTTTCGAAAACGGAGCTAGAATCTATTATGACCCACAAATACCAATTTTTAGACAAATCAGTGAAAAAATGTGGCAAAACCATCATAATACCCAATATCGGGAGGTACCATTATATGAGGGCTATACCAAATCGTGGACCCATACACGCTACCGGAGCTGGAACCAATTATAACCAACAAATTCCATTTTTTAGACAAATCCGTGAAAAAATGTGGCAAAAATAATCAAAATACCGAATATCGGGAGATTCCTTTATATGGGGGCTATATCAAAACGTAGACCTATACATGCAATATTTTGCCACACGTACAGGGACCCGTTATGACCTACAAATACCAATTTTCAGACAAATCTGTGAAAAAATGTGGCATATATCATCAAAATACTGAATATTGGGAGGTAGCGTTATATGGGGACTATACCAGAACGTGGACCGATATATCTCTTTTTCAATACCAACCATCCTAGACACAATACCAATTGCTCTGCTAAATTTTGGCGCTCTACGTCAAATAATGTGAGCTGTATCGTGATTCAACAACAACAGACAGACAGACGGACATCGTCGATTATGAATATATATACTTTATGGGGTCTACGACGAATATTTAAGGATATTACAAACGGAATGACAAAGTTAATATACCCTCCTCTCCAAGGTGGAGGGTATAAAAATCGAATGTGACCGAGTTTATTTTATTGACCCATGTACCCATGGATTTTTACTTATAATGCAAATTGATGCCATATATATGCAAGTATAGAAAGAAATAACTGCATATAATGAGGGGTGAGTTGGCTATTTTTACGAAAATGTTTTTTATCTAATGGGTTGTAAAACAAATAATTAACAACCAGTTAGCACAATATTGGAAACAATTGAAACGCAATAAATTTCACTCAGATAACCAAATTCATTAATTTATTAACATTGCCAAAAAGTTTAACCAGAAATTAGATTAGTAACTGCGTCATTAGCTACTTGGCCAGCAATTGGAGCTGCAACTTCCTTCATTTTACCGAAAGTTTTCTTCAACTAAATATTTGCAATGGAATTGAGACGATAAGCGGGAGCTTTTAACATAAGGTTTTTATAAAATATGTACTTACGAATTTCTTAAGACTTTTCTGTTGTAAAAAAGAAATTTAAAGAAAATTATTTTAATAAGATAATCTCGAATAATATTTTAGTTTTTAAATTGAGTATTGCTTTAATACACTTTCAACTTACAGGTTGTGGAGCAGCTGAAACTTGTCCGCCAATCACAGCAAAGATAACAATGAAAGCAAACAGAAAAGCAAAGGACAATTTCATTGTTGTTGTTGTTCTAACTTTATTATTATAATTACAGAACTTCTACAAATGAACGGATCTTTCAAAGTTATACTTTTTATAGTCGAAATTTGCGTTATTTTTTTAAATTCAACTATGAGGAAATGTCTAATTATTTTTGTTTATGCAACATTTTAACTGTACACATTATGCATTATAATAGGAGTTGACGTGAATTTTGCGACAATATTTGTACACCAAATATTCTTTTCTCGCGCGTGTATTTTCATTAAATACGTTTTATTAAATAACGATGACAATAGAAATTTAAGTAAACATGAATTTGACTATTCTTCGATTGGAACAGAAATAGGCTGTTATTTGAAAAAAGCTTAATTATAGATTCACTACAGTTTTTTTTATAAACAGATACTTATATTGTTGATTTAATATAGTCTGCTTTTTAGAAACAATACCTTTTTATTAGCAGGTGGGAATGATTAGACAAGGAAGTCTAAAGTGAGAAAGTATTTCCAATTTGGATAACTAAAGTGCGAGAGTACTTGAAAACTGATGTTGAAGCTTTTGAAATATTGAATAGTAGGAGGTTCCCAAATTCGTGGGCTCTACCAAATATTTAACCTATGTTCAAAATGCTTGGCAAAAAGAGATTACACCTTCTGGGAACTTATGATGCCAAATTACGACTATTTTGGTTTGAAAATGCGTCGGAAACACACAAAATACTAAGAAGACCTAAATGGAATAAATAAAAAAAATGAAATCTTGGAATCTTCGTGGACTGACATCCAATTTTTAACAACAACCATTTTAGGGGTACTAGAAATATGTTGAGAACATTTCGTTTATATATCTTAAAAATTGTGACTTATATCTTGATATCCAAGGACTGACGAGCATCATTGAATTTCCTAAGAACTTCCGTTTTTGACCTGTGACTTTACTCTATATTTACACACTCTTTCATACTGATAGGTATTCAAAGAAATTTCACTCAAAAGTTGTGGTATCTGCCACATATTATCCATGGTCACCCAAAATGCTAGGCTTTTGCCCTGTACTAAATGTTATCCTCATGCGAAAAACAATTGTCCATTATTCTGACCATAACCCAACCCTCATGAGAAATTTCGTTAGCTCGGACGATAATTGCGATTAGTATATAATACTCCCAACACATGGTTTAAAAAATATTCAGGTTGAACGAAACCATAACAAGTGGAGAAAGATATAAATGTTTATAAGTGCGGTTGTAAGATTTAGAAGACTTTCCAAAAGAATTTTAGTTTTATTTAATTCTTTGGTTCCTCTTCTATTGAGCTTACGATCTCGTCACTTGGGTAAAAAATGTTTTTTGTCATAGAAGTTATTTTTAAAATAACTTCTGGGGAGAATATCCCAGACAAAAAACAAGGGAACTGATGAGGATTGGTGGCTCTTTCCGAAACCTAGGTATTCCCTGCCTTACCCCCTGGTAAACATTACCATCGTTCTCCACTAATAAACTAACGTTGTTTTTATAAAAACAACTAAAAAAGGGATAAAGCCTGACCATTTTGCAACAACAAAATACTACGGTATCCCGAACAAACAAGCCACACTGTTCTAATATTACAAAATGTACAAATGCATGTCATATTCCGACCTTAACCACAGCTCCATGCAGGAGGATAGGGTCATAATTTCGACCTGTAGCGTGATTACGAATTAAAATGTACAAGTTAAAACGCAATAAGCTCGGCCGGGCCGAACTTTGGATACCTTCCACCATTTAGAACGAAATTTGAAATGAAAAAAAAAATAAATAAATAAATAAATAAAAAATCCGTTAAAATCATAAAAATATGTAGTATAGGGAGTTACAGTTATTTTGGGGTCCATACGAAGACGTGGACTCGAAAAGACAATTTTCTGTCACATGCTGTAGCATCCATTACAAACTTCAAATACGAAATTTGAAACAATTCCGCTTAATAGTGCCGCCGAAATCATCAAAATGCAGGATATAGGGAGGTACCTTTTTATGGGGGCTATGCAAAGACTTGGACCTGCAAAGCTGTAGTATCCATTACGAACTATCATTAAGAAAATGGAAACGATTCCGGTGAACAATGTCGCTAAAATTATCAAAATATCGAATATAGGGAGGTACACTTATATGGGAGCTATAACAAAACGTTGACCTATATAGCCCATTTTCAATACCAAAAATTCTGCAGACAAAACACACATTTGAGTAAAATTTTATTAACTTACTTCAATTCGTTCGGAAGCTAGAGTGATTTCCACATACGGACGGACATAGGGACAGACAGACGGACGGTCATTCATCATCATGTTATGCTACAAACGGAATGACAAACTTAATATACCCTCCATACTAAGGCGGAGGGTATAACATGCGGACGGGCGGACATACATAGTGAGATCGACATAGAAAAAGGAAGATATATAACAACCTCTGTCTTAGACCTATATTTCGAAATGTTACATACATTTTGGCCCAATCAAACTTATAATACCCCAAAACATAGGGTTGTAAGATATAATAATAACTTTTCTATAGATTTTCATCGTATTTTAAAACTAGAATGTTTCCAATTGCAACAATGGAATAAGTAAAAATACGTTAATTTCGGCCGAGGAAATCTTTTACCGCGCTCCACCTAAAAATAATGAGAAATAATGAGCCTATTCAAGCAGACTTCTGCCACAGAGGACAGCACCCATTACAAACTCTACATACAGCACCCATTACAAACTCTACATACAGCACCCATTACAAACTCTACATACAGCACCCATTACAAACTCTATATACAGCACCCATTACAAAAACATCAGGATACCAAATATCGCAAAATTTGAATGTAGGCAATGATCTGCACCTAATTTTAAACAATTCTGTTAAAAAATGTGTCGAAATACCGAATATTGAGAGGTACATTTATATAGCTCCAATGTAATGTGTAACGTAGACCGACCAAAATACATACAGGGTGAGATAAGAAAACTGCACCAAAGTCAGACCCCATTATTTTTACATTTTTCTAATTTTATTGAAGAAAGCAAAATATGTCGAAAATAGCATCAAATTTTAGAATAAGTTTAGATTTGTTCGAATTGGTCACCTTTGGCACGAATTATGGTCTTCGAACGGCCAATGAAACCGTCACACGCTGCATGTATGTTGCTCTGCGGTATTTTGGCCAATTTCCGGCGAAGCGCTACTTGATGTGATCGACACTTATTTAAGTGATCGACTCTTTGGTATTTTTTAGTGCCAACCTTACTTTCCAAAATACTCGAGACACAATAGTCCAACGGATTGGTATCCGGACATTTTGGTGGCCATTGTGCGCTGAAAATGAAGCGAGGAACCTCATTTTGTAACCTTTCTTGGGAGGCGCATGCTGAGTGCGATGTTGCGGAGTCTTGTTGGAATGTTTAAGGTCTGCGGCCAAAATGTGCGCGCCCAAGGCTTAAATACACCTTCTAGAATATTTTCGCGATAGTATTCGGCATATATTCTAATGCCACGGTCGATTAATACGAGCAAAGAGCGACCATCGCCTGTTATGGCGGCCCACACCATCACCATGGCCAACTCTTGAGTTCTGAGGCCAACCGAAAGTGCACATTTTTTGCTGACCTCTTTGTCAAGTAAACAAGATCATTTTGTTTGTTTACAAACTGCTGGACAACGAATGTTTTCTCATCGGAGAAAACCAAATTAGGCAGTTCACCACTTTCGGGCAAGCGAAGCAACTCTTAAGCTCTTTTGGGTCTATTTTCTTTTGGTTGCGGTGTAAGTTCTTGCACTTTTTGGAATTTCAATGGCTTTACCCCGAGCTCATTTTTTAATATTTGCGAATGGAATATTGCGATATGTTCAGCGAACGAACCATTTTTCGGCCACTGCGACGCGGGTTTCGATCAGGTCGATTCTTTTTTTTTCGAACCGTTTCTGCTGATATCGGTGTTTTCTTCCGCCCATTTCCTTGACATCGGGCTATGCTACCAGTAACGAGCGATAGTACGAGACACAAAAGATTTATTCACATTTGAATGCTGGATTGCTCTAACGATAGCCACTTGTGGTTTCCGGCAAAATATAAAGAAATCACACTATCACGCTTATATTCCATCTCGAATAACCATACGCTTGTAAACAATATAATGAGCTGTCACTAGAATAATTTTAACAGCTCTGGGACGATTGGCTTAGAAATGACAGCAGTCTGAAGTTTTTTTCATCTCACTCTGTGTGTGGGCAAAATTTTAGTCTTCCATCTCAATTTGTTCCAATGATAGCTAAATAGACTTATAATATTACGCTAATGAAGAATATATGTACATCGGCTCTAACATTAGTGTTTCGAGGAGTTACGAACGGAATGTCAAAATTAATATACCCTCCGTAATATGATGAAGTGCATTAAAATAAATAGGTATATAATTTATGATCATTTTTAAAAATATATTTATTCAAATGACATGAATGTTTGTTGAAATATAAATATTGGCATAGTTGTGTAGAATACTATGCAATGTTATTTAAAATATGCATAAATAAAACGGAAATATTTGTGAAATATATTCTTTGTTTCATTTCTGAATAACGCCCTTCCGCGTATATAAGTTTGAAATTTGGGAGCTCCAGTTAACATTCTAGTTGTACATTTCTAAGAAGCAACAAAGAAAACAAAGCCACAATGAAATTGTCCTGCACCTTACTATTCGCTTTGATTGTGATCTTTGCTGTCATCGGTGGACAAGTTTCTGCTGCTCCTCAACCTGTAAGTTAAATTTTTTAAGATTTAGATATTCGTCAATTAATTTGTGTATTTGTTTTCGTTCTGATTTTATAGAGGGGTTTAAAGAAATTCGTAAGTACATGTTGGCATAAAACCTTTTAGTTTTTTTGAAAACGTTTTTTATTTTAATCTATAGTTGAAGAAAACCTTTGGCAAGATTAAGGAAGTTGCAGCTCCAATTGCTGGCCAAGCAGCTGGTGACGCAGTGACTGGTCTAATTGCTGGTTAAATAAATACTTTTGAAAAACAAATAAAATATTGGTTTGGGATATCTGACTGAATTTAATTTATTTTATTTCTAAAGCTTCCTACGATGTAATGCTTAATGTAATTTAGCTTCATATCCGCCTGTTTGCATGTGTGTATGTCTATTGTAATCACGCTATCTTTAGAACGAATTGAGATAGACTGCTAAAAGTTTGCACACATGTGTATTTTGCCAGTAGGCAGTTTTAGTTCGTCCTACAATGGTTCCTCCTATATTCAGTATTTTAAGCCACATTTTCATATGGAATTATTTAAAATTCGATATTTGGAATTTTTAACGGGTTCCAGCTCCTGTTGAAAAACCTTGTCCACATAGGTTCCGATACCCCTATGTAACGCTATCTCCTTATATTCAGTATTGTGATGATTTAAGACTCATTTTCTAACAGAGTTGTTTGAAATTTGGTGATTCGGGTTCGTAATGGGTTTTACCTCCTGTGGCAGATCACGTTTTGTCGCCATGTTGCTGCACTTATTCGGTATTCTGCTGATGATAGCCACATTTTTCAGGGTAGTCGTTAAAAATTCGGTATGCAGAGTTTGTAAGGGTTCTGCTTTCTGTGGCAGAAGACTGATGGAATAGGCTCATTTTTTATCACTCATAAGGCGATACCTCCAAATATTTGGTCTTGTTGTGATTTTGTCTTAATTTTATTAATATTCGCCATTTATTCTGATGCCACAGTCGATTAATACGAGCGGAGATCGACCGTTGGCAGTTATGGCGGCCCACCATGGCCGGCGCTTGAGTTCTGGTGAACAACCGAAGGTGCACATTTTCAGCTGATCTCTTTGGCAAGCAAACACGATCATTTTGTTTGTTAACAAACTGCTGGACAACGAATGTTTTCTCATCGGCAGTTCCACGCTTTCGGCCTAGCGAATCAACTCTTTAGCTCCTTTGAGTCTATTTTCATTCTGTTGCGGTATAAGTTCTTGCACTTTTTGGAATTTCAATGGCTATACCCAGCTCATTTTTTCAATATTTGTTCAGGTCACGAGCCATTTTTCGGCCACTGCGAACTGAAAATGGGTCCTGTAGGTCCATATTTTGGTATAGCCACCATATAATTGTACTTCCCAATTTTTCGGTATTTGTATTTGAAGATCGTAACGAATACTACAGCATATGACAGAAATTTGGCTGAGCAGGTCCAGACCCTAAAATAACGGCCTTGAACATTACAACGGTATTTTTAAAATTTTAACAGAATTGGAATTTTTAAGAAAATTCTTAAAATTCGATGAACAAAAATGGTGAGTTTTTAAGGAATCCAGAATATTTACAGAAATTTTTTCAAGGACCTCCAGAAAGAAAGTATTTTTAAAAATTTACTTTTCCTGGACCTCTTGATAAATGTTTTAGAATTTTTTAATGACTTCCCAAAAAAATCGTGAATTTTTTAGAATTATTTTTTGAAGGACTTGCTGAAAACATTTCTTCAAGTTCGTATCAGAAATCGTTGATTATTTCAGGAACTCATTTAAGAATGTAGGAAAGTTGTGGAGTTTTTAAGTATAAGTTTCTAAGTAATTTCCTCACAACAAATTGTGGATTCTAAAGAAATTTTTATGAAGGACCTCTAGACCAAAATGTTTGGAAGTATTTAGAAAATATTTTCCAAGGACCTCCTAGTCAAAATAATAGTAGATTTTTTTAGATAAAAAAATTGTGGATTTTATACTCTAAGCCACATTGTAATAAGAGTATTATGTCGCTATGCGATATAGACCCATAGTTACTTTTGAGGATATAGAATCACTTTCTGGTTCGATTTATGCATGTCATTCCGTCTGTCCCTTTGTCATATGTATTTTTGTGAACAAAATGCATATCGCATTTATTATCCGATTGAAATGAAATTTTCCAAACAATATTTGCTTGGCCCAAGGACGAACCTTAAGGAAATCAGTAAGAATAGGCTCAAATTTAGATATAGCTCCCATATATATATCTTCAACTGATTTCGGGTTAATTGTGCACCAAATGGCCAATATCAGTCCAAATGACCTTAAGTATAGCACATCCGAGAGAATTCAGCCTAGAAGCAAGTACATAAAATTTGATGAAAATCGTTTCAGATATAGCTATAGCTTTCACATATATGTACTATCCGATTTGGTGTTTATGTCCCCCTTAAGCGTAATATGCACTTCACAACAATGATCTTTGGTACCAGATATCATACATAGCCCGGAATACCACTGTGAAATTTTATCGACATTGGATCAGATTTGGAGATAGCTCCTATAGATATCTTTACCCGATTTCAGGTTTATTGCATACCAAATTGCTAATATCAGAACCAAATGAACTGAATCTTGGCAATTCGATCGTAGGTTTCTATTGTAACCTCCATGCGAAATTTCGTGAGGATCGTGCCATAATAGACGGACGGGCGTACACACATAGCTACATCGACTCAGCTCTGCGATTTGGAAAGATCCATATATTACATCCCATGTGCAGGACCATAATTTTTGGTCCATTAAAACTTATAATACCCCAACCCATAGAGATGTAGGGTATAGAAAAGAAAATTGTGAAGTTAAGAGCCCGATTTTCGCAATTTGAAGAAAGAATCCAAAATTTCGAAAATCGCATTTTTCGAATTGAAAAAAATGAAATAATTGAACTCGCTTTTCTGCTCAGTTGTTGCGTTAATTTTCGATACCTCTCGGACTTTTCAAAAAATGATACTTTGGAAAATATTCCAGAATTGCAACATTCGAATTTTATTTACCACTTTTCGACGAAATCTTCGAATATTTGCATTTATTAATCTTTGAATTTCGAAAATACAACATTTGTGCTAAGTTGTTTGTGCCGTTTTACATTTAATCACTGAAATTGAAAAATTATATAAGTTTTGTAAAAATTCAAATTTTTGAAATTCGATATCGGAAAACTAGAAGTTTAGAACAAATTTTCCTCCATACATCACAAATTTGAATTTCTACTTTTTATTGCGAAGCTATTTTATGCCGATAAAATGCCATGTCATACCTAAACAAGTAAGCAAAGGCTACAGTCGAGCGCGCCGACCGTTGAATACCCTACAACACTACAATAAACGATACAGTTTATATAGGCGAGATACTCGAAAGAATTCAAGATATTGTGACAAATAATAAAAGAAAACCATCAGGTTTCGTTCTCTAATTTTCGAATAATAGCAACTTAAACTAATTTGCTCATTTCCAATTTATTGGTAGATGTTGCACGTAAATGGTCTTCCTAGATCTGGAACCAATATTTCCCAAAGACCTATAATCTCTCAGAAGTGACAAAAGATTAACATTTATTATTGGTTTTTGACTGAAACGCATCTATGTGAGATACAGACATTTGACTATATTCCTTAACGAAATCAGAGTTAACGAAATAGTCCGTAGTGCGTCTTTCTTGTATTTGTGAATTCTCCAAAAAGTCACTGGAATGGACATTTTCGTATTTTGTCTACAAAAGTTGGCAAACTCCTTCACACATTGAATATTTTTGGATGGCCATCCAAAACTGCTTGGCTTTTGCAATGTCCGGTAATCCCGATTCAAATGTGCGTGAGGATCGGGCGATAATTACGACCTGCTGACAATTTTTCAGTTTCTTGGTCCATTTCAACCCCTAAATATAGGGCGATCATCTCCAAAAAGAGTATGCTTCTATTCTGACCCTCATCTTATCCCCATGCAAAATTTCGTAAGGATCGGGCCATAAATGCGATCTGTATATGATATCCTGATATCTTAACTACTTAGTTTTGTTAGCTGCAGAAATATTACCAAATGTTGAATTCAGAATGGAAATATGCCAAAATTGAAAAAATATGAGAAAATATTACAAAATCAATATTTTCATCGTTAGAGATATATTTTTATGCGATTTTTTAGACGTTTTTTCTTTCCTGCCAAGAGGCCATTCTGAACTAATGAGAACTGTCGAAATCAGTTCAGCCGTTCTCGACATATATGAGATCTTTCAAGCATATCTTCCTTGATAGACATATATATCGCACATATTTTGCTATATATTCGATTTGTTGGATCTTAACATCAATGTAAAGATCAGAAGTAACCTTGTCATGGCTTTGTGATTTCGCCGGGATTTAAAATATTCGCGGTTTAATGAAAAAATGTTGAATTTTTTCAACAAAAAAGATATGGTCTATTTTAGCCGCTAAATAATATCCGATGAGCACCCAAATTGGTAGGCTTCTTCCCCGCCCTAAACTCTAGCTACATGCGAAATTCCGCGTCGATTGGTCTATAATTGCAACCTGTATAACTACTGCAAAATCTGACATTTTTTCAGTTTTTGGTCCATTTCAACCCCTAAATATTATGCGATCATCTGCAAAAGAAATAGGGTTCTATTCTGACATTAACCCCACCTACATTTTAAATTTCGTGAATATCGGGCCATAATTGCGACCTGTAGAGTGATTACAAATTAACATGGACAGACGGACGGACGGACGGACATACATAGCTAGATCGACTCAGCTCGGCGAGATAGGAAGATCCATATATACTTTCCTATATGGGAAACCAATATTTCGAGGTGTTACATAAATTCTGGCCCAATCAAACTTATAATACCCCCAACACATAGTGTTGTAGGGTATAAAAAGGCATATGAAAGATGTTTTTTTTGGTTTGTTCCCACGCCTCTCATCCATAGACGGCCCGTGATAAACATTGCTATTCGTCTATTAAATACTTATCCAATGTCTTCTATCCATGAAAATGTTATTTTCCTTTTGAAAATTTACAGACTAGCTCTGATCCCTTAAGCCATATTTTGTCATAAAAGTATTAAAGCTTATTTTGTGCACCACAAAAACGAAAAACATCAAATCATTGATTATTATCTTTCGAAAATCGAATATTTAACGAGTTGTAGCATAAACAGAAATCTACTCATCTAAATTGCAAATGTATTTTTCTTTCTCCGGGTTTTTGTTGCTCGCAAACACTAAAACCAATCAAAAGGTTAAGGACAACAACAGTTTTT